AACAATAAGCTTTGACAGCAAGAGTGGATTTACCAACTCGGAGCAAAAAGCTGTACTGCCAGGTTCACAAGGTTAATAAATCCTGCTTCTGGGCAGCTTTGGGAGCTCTGCCTTTCACTCCCTTGGCACTTCTAATTCTGAGCTAAAAGCAGGCAGAGGCAGTTACGCGTCTGTAGTCCCCTACCAAGTACCTTACACGCAGTACAGTCCAGTGGTGCCTCCCTTAACCAGAACTTTAGGGCATTCCAAAATCAGCACTAACTTGAGGTCAAACTTTTAAATGACAAAGGGCAAAATAGGAAAACAAAGCCAAAGTATCTCTGTTTCAGAGTTAAATTGAAAAGGATTAAATTTAACAGTGAAACAAAGCCTTCCACAGTATCAGCCCATCACAGTCCAAATCTATGAGTGATCTTCTGCTTTAGAAGAAGTGACTTTACTCCTAGCTCTGCCCCTGCATGCTACTGAGCTAGGTAATTTCAGTCCCCTATGCCTCTGCTTCCTCATCTTTTAAGCAGTTGCTTTCCTTCTTTGTGAAGCAGTATGAGGTCCATGGATAAAAAACATGCCACAAGAACTAGTTATTATTAATGCAATTCAGATATGGAATGCACCAGATGGTAAAATCTCCAGGATTTTAATGAACTATTGTAACAGAACATATGTAATATGACGTTATTATAGCAGGCATTTAAATGTATAGTTAGTACATACAACGTGACCTGCTCTGCTCTCAGTAACTCCACTGGAATTATTTTGGATTTAAGTCAGATAATACTAGGAACACAAAATAGCCCCATATGTGCAATGTGGTAAGGTTGTCATAGCAATGCTATCTTAACTATTGCCTGTCCTGTTTTTATTTTTTGCTGGGGGTATTGTATTTAGTGGTCTGTTAGAGTACACTTTCTGCATTTAATTCTGAGCAGGAAGTAAAAAAAAAAACCCTCATGTCAAAGACTAAAATGCCTCTGACCAAGTATGCCTTAGCTATCATCATAAAATAGTCACCATGAAGCAGCAAGAACTGTTGGGTTTTTTTCCACTATATTCTGTAAAAATTGTGTCTTTGATGCACCTTACGCTAGACTCGGTAAGCAATTCATGCTTGTGTCAGAAGAGCCAAACATTCAGTTTCAGACTGTGAGGGCAGTAGTATCTCCTTTCTCCCACAGCATTTGAGTTCTGGGCAAGATGAACTATACGACTGGGCAAAGGTGAAAAAACAGGACTGCAGCTCAAGCCACTGGCATCACACATTACAGTCAGAGACAGGTACTGACTTCAGTAAAGGAGGAACATGAAGATACTATCAGTATGTATAATAATTCTAGCACATCTACAATACAGACTATGAAACTCAAGTGAACTGACATTTAATATACGAGAGGCTGGAAGCAAGATATCAATTTCACATCATAAATTAGCCTTTGTGCTAGTGCCCAAAGATTTGGCTGATTACTCATTGCTTTCCCTTAGTGCTTAAGCAGTCTTTTCCAAAGCAAGACAGTTAAACCACAAGAACGTACCGTAGTGTCCACAGCCCTGACCTTCCCAGCAGGAATGTGCTTTGGAATGGGTTCTTCTCCTGATATCATCATGCAGCCTTCTGCTCCAAGAGTAACAATTACGAGCTTACACCCTCTTTCTAACAGCATGTGTCCCACCTTTTCCGCATCTTCAAGATTGCCAACTGGGACGCCCGTTAAAATTTCTGCCTGGAAAATAACCCACGCAAATGAAAATCATAATCTGACAGCATTCATTTTTGGACAACAGTTGCATTTGAAAACAGTATTTAATATCTTTTTAAAATGTGTATTATAGGATGATCATGAAACCACTTCCTACACTGATATTCGGCTATGTCTTGCTCCTCGTTTGAAATCAGCGAGTACTTCAGGGACAGCAGACTAACAGACAGCAGCCTAGGCAGAGAGGCAGGAGACATGGGTTCCGTTCCCGCTTCTACGACTTGCCTGGTATTCAACCCTTAGAAAAATCACATTTCTCCCATGTGCCTCAGTTTCTTCACCTGTGACATGGACACAATGACACAGCCTTGGCAAAAGCATTTTGTGATCTAATGTGAAAATGCTACATGACAACTTGGTCACTATTGATGGGGGATATTTATCACTAAGTGAGAAACTTTTAAAATTCTTTTTTAAATTCTCAATGTTCAGCTAAAGAGAAATCACACAGGAAAATTTCTTTAGGAAAAAAAACCAATTGCTCAACTTCGACCACTCTGTTTACTATGATATATATTTTTAGACAAGAATACCTAAAATTTATCTGAAGCTCTCTTTGGGTAAAGGCCCATTACAAGATTATCATATATTTGTGTTATGGCAGTGTCCATAGGCCTCTGTCAAGACAGAGACTCTTCTGTGTTGGCTCTGTGCAAACACAGATAAACTCTTCTTCTAACAGATGGTGACCTTAAGTCAACTTCTCCCAGTTGGCTCTTAAAATTAATCTGTTCTAGTTCCACCCAACTAAGAGCAAAATTTCCGAAAAATCTGTGATGAAGACTCCAGAATCAAGCATCCTTTTCACCACTTCATACGTTTTCTTGATGGCATAGCATTGTCAAATGTCACGTACTTTTTCTTTTTTTTTTGGCAGGGAAGAGAGCAAGAATGAAACAGGAAGAAAGCGAAGAGAAAATACGGTGCATTTTATTTGAAACAGTCTAGCAGGCAGTACTCCTGCATAACACAGTATGCCTGCAATTGTAAGTAAGCAGGCATATTATATTCTGCTGTCTTTACTAAATCTTGTCCTGCTTGCCTGAGAAGAGGGAAGTCCTACTTTATCTTGCACTACAAGGCTGCTGCTGGATCCTGAAAAATGCAGGCTGAAGTATTTTCAGATAACCGCCTAGTAACTGGGCATAGCTTCCACACTGTCAGGGCTTATTTTCAGTGGAAAACTTACTTCGGAACCTGTTCACCAGCTACAGTTCCTGACTGCTGCTGCATGGGCAGCTCAGCTTCTTGGGAAGCAGCTGGGGAAATATTTCAAACTACCTTCCTCTGTATTACTGAAACCTGAAGTCAGTGCACAGATGTCTTGATATAACGGACTGTAAGCTACAGTGATGAAACAACTGCTCCATAAAGCACAGGCCATGCCTGTAGTAAAGAGAGGGAGGGCAGACAGCTGGGGACAGGAACTACTACAGCCATCCCAAAGTAAACCGCCCCCAGCTGTGAGTCAGTGCCCGCTGCTCGCCACTGTCATTTCCTGTGTTTCAGCCTGACCCAGGAGAGAGAAGCCACCCTTAGGCTCTGAAGGGCCAGATTATGCCAACACACTCCCTAGAGTTTATAGTATCATTACCAGAGTACTTACTGGTTTTACTTTTCAAACTTACAGGACCAAGTTCTGCAGTCCCTGCTTAGACAAATGCACAAATGATTTCAAGTGTTGTTGATCTGATCGCTACAAGGCAGAATCTGGTGTGGCAGGCCTTGGTGGGTACGCTTGTGCACTGCAGGGGCAAGGTGTGGTTAACACGTACATGCAATTTAAAACTACTTTTTTTAACCATACTGATTCCAGACAAGAATATAGTAAGCTTCAAATTATGAGAAGGCAACCAAACCTATCCAATTTTCTCTTTGGCACACCACCATGCTGCTCAAACTTCTCTTGCAGTACAAATTATTTAAGCAAATTAAACCTATTTCTGTTTTTAAAAGGTTATAAAAGTATTTTCAAATAAGAAAATTTGTTTCAAAAAGTATCTCACAAAACCTTTTCAATGTATCTTCTTGCAAGGCTTGCAAGGAGTCAATACACCAACAATGGCTTTGGAGAAAGTAAGGATAGATAATAAATAGTATTTATATAAAAATACATATATATATATATACACACTCTGTTCTAATATTCCAGCATCTAAAGAGTCTGTGTCTCATCATGAGATCTCTGGAGCAGGAACTATGCATTCCTGTATTCAGACTACCTAGCACATCATGTTACAAGAATAAAAATGGATTAACACAAATCCTTGAATGAAACTGGTTAACTGAATTTCAAATGTACTTCATGATGGGCAATTATTCCAAACATTCTACCTATGTTGCAAAGTCTCCAGGACAAAAGTGGATTTGGGTTTGGTAGAGAAACAGTAAATCTAATTTGGGTTTATTTACTGGGTATTTACACTTCTGTAAGCTCATGAGCAAGGTAAATGAAGTACTTAAATATAATATTCTTCCTAATGAAATGCACATGCTGTATGCTTAGCATTAGCATTGTACCCCTCCTTGTGATGTCTGTGTCCGAAGTCAACAGGATTTCTTGCTTGGGTAGTGAAAGAATTGTTCTGGGACTGATATGTGAAAGGTTTTACAGAAATCTTTCTTTTCATCTTTACACTGCTTATACCAATAAACAAAATTATTTTGAACAGAGTCTGTATAAAAGTAGATCTTCAACTGCTTGAAACCACTATCATCTATCTCATCTACAGCAGGATGGTAAAACTAAAAAACACTGGAACAAGCTGGAAGAACCATAAAAGCAGCAGAAGCCAGACAGATTCTGTGCCAATAATTAGAGATTGCGGTAAATGTCAACTGATGTTAAATACTGTGGTGAGTTTTTAAGTTCCTCCCTTCAGTAGAATCTTATTTAAAAAACAAACTGTGGTACAATTGAAGGAAATAACTAATGGTTATGTAAAGAAAAAATTAAATAACAATACTAAAAGCCCAATGTGGACATTTGCCATAGTACTGTACAAAAGAGCAGCAAATTAGGAATTGTATTTTTCTGCAGCTAGTCTCATAAAACTCCTCGGTTAATGGACCTATTAAAGCAAGAGGACATTCCACAAAACTGCTGTCAGAATAAACCTATGACGGATATTATATAATTAATCTATACAGAATTTTCTTAATTTTGTTTACAAAAGTGGAAGCGAAATTTAACCAAAGCTTTTAATTTAACTGATATGAGGGTTCTTGCCCATAATCCTCACTAATCTTAGTTAACTCTCCATATCTTTAGGCTGTGGAGTCTAGTCACAGTAAGTTGACACAAACCAGCACTGCTACAGGAAAAAAATGGTCCCCTTTTTTTCCCTTCCGCTCCTGTCCACATGGCCCATTCTCTTGTGCCAGCACAGCCATTTACGTAGCCAGGAAACAAATTGGATTGCAAGGCAGATTTGTGTTAAAATTAACACCACCCCCAATCCCACACCACCCCCAAAAGCCAACCCAAAACAATTAACTTCTTTTGACAGCAGTACTAGTTTACACTGGCTAAAAGTGAGAATGAAACTATGATATGAACCTTTGCCAAGTGTTCCTAGCTGTGATGCATTTGGGGCAGCCTATGGCTTACACAGCCACTTTCAGGGAGATGTTCTGGATCCTCTGCTTGGCATTTGCAAGACCAAATCTGCAGCATGGTATCTAGTTTTGGGATCCCTGGCACAAGTTAAGACACTGACATACAACAAATCCAGTGCAAGGCCACCAAGACAGTCAGGGGGCCAAAGAGCAGGACATACAAGAAGAGGCTGGGAGAAGCAGGCTTGTTCAGCCTTAAGAACACAAGGCTAAGGGGAGATCCAACAGTTGTCTACAGCAATTTAATGGGTGGGTAGAGAGAAGATGGAGCCAGACTCTTCTTGAAGGTGCACATGGATAGGGCTAGAGACAACAGGTACAAGATGGAACATGGGAAATTCCAGCATTAGGACAAGCTTTTTTACCATGAGGGTGATGAAGCAGTGGAACAGGTGCCCAGAGGTTGTGCAATCTCCATCCTCAGAGATTCAAAACTTGACTGGACAAAGCCGTGAGCAATCTGACTTAAACTGGCCATGCTTTGCCAGGGCGTTGGACTAGAGACCTCCAGAGGTCTGTTCCCAACTTCTGTGATACTGTGATCATCAGCAAACAATAACAAGAAGTGTTAATTCTCTGGGGAGCAGTCCATCATTCAGACTGCTTTTTGTGCACCTAGCACAACAACAACTTTGCAAATGTCGCCAGGTACTGCTGGAACAGAAATAATAAACATTAATAGGGAAATTGTGCCAGTTTTAAGGCTAACCCATCTAAAACTACATAGGATAGTTTAAAATATTTTTTATTTTAAATACTTAAACACAGTAAGCCAGTTGGCTACAAACTTGGCTTGTACCTTAGGAGATGTCTCTGAGAATGACAGAACAAGAATTCATTCTCATTAATTCTAACACCACATGTGAACAGTCCCAAAGAAGTAGTGAGACAGATTTGGTGTATAAGCAATTGCAAGATCAGGCCACAAGCCAAGCCAGTTCCAGTTGTTCCAAATTATAAAATTTTTACATACATACAGGCAGAAATACTTATCGTGCTAGAATAATTAAAAACTGATTGAAATGAATTGGCTTGAAGCTATTCCCTCCCCTCCCAAAAGTAACATCTTTCATTTTAGACTAAATATGGGAAATTTCGTAGTTTCCAGCAACTGATAAAATGGGGTTTAGAACAAAGTTGGAATTAAAGTATACTGTGAATTGCTGGCAACTTCTACATAACGCAGCAATAGTAGCTTTCCATTACTTAAATCAGAAAAGGCAAGTTGAAGAGATGTTCTGAAATATTTTAATTCTAAAGGACCTTTTTTTGTTTTGACTACTAGAGATACCAATTATTTTTTCTTAAGAAAGACTATCCTTAGTATTAATCTCTCTATATTAATAAACAGTATCTTAAGTGTCCTAATCCAAGGCTCCAGATATAGTTTTATAAACTTGATATTCTCTGAATCTTGTAAAAGTCAATATTGCGTCTTGATTTTGGACATACTAACAAGAATTTTAATTCTTAATATTTCTTCCAAAAATTATCCAGCCTCTAGTAATAGACAATAACACTTAAAAGGAAACGGTATCGTAAATAGGATAGTATCTATTTTTCTGTAATATTTTTATACATCTTGCAGATTTGTTTAACAAAATTAGCAATTAACTTACATTTAGTTGTACTGCTTTCTATCACTGAAGCCCCAAAGTATTCTGTTAGCATTTAATTAAATCTTTGCTAGGCTTTTTTATTTAGATCAGAAGTCTGATACCCATTTTACATTAGGGAGAAAGCAGTTCCCAGTTTTGCATTCAAAATAGCTTCACAAACCAAATCATTTGCTGTAACCATTTAGGAGTTTTCCTTCTCCTGAAGGGCTCCTCAGTATTCTTTGAACAGAGAAGCAGCTGTTCTTCAAAATGTTTAGGACCAAACTGAAATTGCTGATGTGCAATATATTTTGGTTCCTAACCTGCAGGGTTATGTAATTGCATGCACACATTAAATAAGAAAAACAACACATGAACTGTATTGACATTGTGGTTGTGCCTAGAGCCATAATGCAGCAAGGAATCACACAAATATGTGGGAAAACAATGGTAACTATTCCAAAGAGCTCATCTTGTATAGGGTTGTCTCTTTTTCAACATTTATAGATGACTGAAAAGAACAACCATTGGTTTTCACTAACATGACATTGGATACATTTATTTTTCATTAGAAGAATTAAGGGAATGGAGAACTAGCACATTCCTGCACAAACCTCAGGGATTAGGCTGTGCTACATCTGGGAATTAACAAACTAGTCTCAACAAGTTTGATCTTTCTGGGAAAAGATAAAACTGAACTACAGGCTAAGCAAAGAAAGAACTGATAACCTTGCAAGATTTGTTCTGAGTTTTTTTGTTCATGAACCACATAAAAAGAAAGTAATGTCAGACATAAAAAAAAATTATTATTGCAACAAGCAAGAGTGAAAAGAACAGCTTGTGAAGAGCCTTCTAGACAAACTAATGGTAGATAATTCACTGATAGTATAATTTTGTTTGCTTCTCTCTAGCACATAAATCCATAAGAACAAGCTGTGCTGTTATACCAGATACCGTGTGTGATTTCATTAAATCCTAAAGCATTTAATGAATGATGGAGTATAAAGTGGGATGTTGTATTTGATACTTGCATGTTTGGGACCCGACATCCCATATCCCATAGCTGTCTGAAACTATAGCTGACATTTTAAAATTTTTGTTCTGTGACAAAGCAGATCAAAACTGCTGACCTTCATGCCAGTAAATAAAAGAAACTTCTGACTCAGTAATAATTCAGCTAATCACGACTACCCCCTTTTTCAATACAAACACTCCACATAGTGTATGAGATGTCTTAAATGGCTAACTTTCTCTTCTACAGCTAACATAATCTTCTGTTACAAACATATCATTCACATAATATCCACAAACCACAGGATTTTATCATTTAAAGGTATTTCTTGGTGAACAAGAAAGATAAGGACATTTTGGTAAAATTGTGTGATAAATCCTTGTAAATTTAAATGACTAAGAAAGCCAAACTAAGCAATAAAAAAAAAATCAGTGTAAACTTAATCTTGTCTTAGCATATACGTCTGTGTTAAAAAGAATGTTTTAGAAGCAGTTGAACTGGATAGCTCTAAAGAGTTCATCTTTAAATTCAAGATGATTTATTAACTGTTTAAAAGATTTAGTAAAGATAAAGCAGAAATCCACTATTTTTTTTCTGGTAGTGCCTAAAAATCCCAAATAAAAAAATAAAAGATCCCTAAAGCGCATAAGGCTGGAACAAGTAGGATTTTGGCTAGAAGGACGTTATATAAGACTTAGAAATACCAAGTAGGAGGGGCAATGGAGCTGGAATAGAACATCTCAGGAAGGCAGATGTAAGCAGCACATTCAATAAATTTGGCCATAGAGAATAATAAAAAAAAATCATAAAATAAGAATGGCCATAGTGGTTCAGACCAAAGGTCCATCTTATGCAATTGCTCTTTTCTCAATGCTAGTAGATACTGAGGAAAATTAAAAAAAAAAAAAAAAAAGTATAAAAAGATCTTTTCCCAGTATATATTCTGGATCATCAAAGTCTTTAGGTACTTCCTGATTTAAGAACATGAAGGAAACACAGATGTAGTTGGTTGAAAGGACAAAGTTTAAAAAATTAGAATTATCTTTAAGATTTGTAGAATTAACTTATTGCTTTTAAGTGCCATACAGAGATGTGACTGGTAACCTTTATTTGCGTATGTAAACATTTATCTCTATATCAAACTTCTCAAGTGCATACATTACAGGGATCTGAAATTAAAGAAAGTCATGAAAGAAAACAGAAAACAGATGGCATATGAATATATAACAATTACTAAAAAAACAACTTTCAAACTTGTGACATAAGAAAAACAAATGCTTCATTTCTCCTCTTTTCTCAGCAAAAAGAAAGGAACAATGGCAATAGTTCATCCCTGAAAATCAATTCAGTAACAAATCAGACACACAGAGAGGATGAAATCAAACATAATTGATTATTACAGTCATGCTAATGTAATTGATTTCATTGTAAAGTATGAAAAGGTTATTGTTAAAAGCAAAGGTATTTATGTGCCATTCTTGTTCTCAGAATATGCTGTTGGAGTCCCACACTTGGATCTGTGCTTCCATGATATGCTGGCAGGAACTTCCATAGGTCTACCATTTCCATAAATTCAGAAGAGATAAGCCTCCTCAACAGTAGAGAGCCTATTTCTGTGTCTGATTGTGCGTACAGTGATCCCAGCTATCTACCGATGGTAATTACTTTTTAAAAGAAAATAGCAGAAAAGAATGCAAACTGTACCCCCAGCTCCACAGGAAAGATAGATGAATGAGCAGGGATCTATTATAATTATACACCTGTATTTCTTGTTCTCCAAATAGAAGTAATTTTCTTTTCTCCATGTGGTAGTAATAATAATAATACACCCTGGCTCCAGCAAGCTAAACTTTTCAAAGAATGTCACTTTCTGGACTGTCCTCTAGCAATGAAGTATAACAAAGGGAAAACTTTAACATGTGTGTTGCAAAGGGCAATGAGAGAAAAGTCAGGAATAGACAAGTAATGAAAAACAAAGTTTTGTTTCTAACATATGGGGGATAAGTTTTTGCAGGGGGAAAAGAAGTAACTAGTGACCTTATGAAAAAAGCAGACAACAAATGACATTTACTAAATTGGTGGGAGAGTATGGGTGTTCTCAGCCCAAAATGTGTGCTGTTGCACCATTTAGCCAATCCAGGGGCATAGTCCAGGCATAAGTGCTTTCTGAAAGCATGAAGAAAACACCATATGGGTGTCCTGCAAGTCCCCTGAACAAGAATAAATACTTTGCCTTAGCATTCTCTTCATCACATATAATTGAGTTCTGAGAGCTGTTGGACAGTGTCTGAGCTGCAAATGATATCACTGCCAGTTACACTGGAAACTTTGCCTTCTAGAGACCTGAGGAGCCGCGGCATCTTCCACCTTGCTATTTTGCTAATTCTTGAATGCTCTGGAGTATCTGAACCTGGCAGACACATACTGAAAGATCCCAGAATAAAATTCGGATATCCACTTGGGTTACTTAGAGTGACCCTTAAATGCTAGAAGACTCATGAACTGAGAACTTCTGATATGGTTTGGGATGGGTTTTAACAGAAATTTCAAAAGAGGGTAACTGAGCCTTGAAGAACTTACTCTGATAGACATTGTCATCAGATAAAAAAATCCTATAAGTAAGCAGCACCATGCTTTTTTCTAGCTCTTCCCCCTCCTCTCCACCCAAAGGTATTGTGTTCATTGCAGAAATCATGTTTGTTGGAGATAACTTTAACTATGATCAAGGCATGGCTTCTATCCACTAGGTTGCTTCTCCCACATTCCTTTTTATATAAAGAGAGGGTGAGGGGAAGGAACACAGCATACATAATGCTAATAAATAGGAAATTTAAGAGAAGGCCTTATGACACGAGCTTAATTTGTCTCTTGTGACAAAAATAATTTCCTTTGGGAGAAATAACACACTTGAATTAGAAAAGAGAAGAGAAGGAGGGGGGAAAAAAAGAGGGAAAACATACAGTTGAAGGGCCAGAGAAACAGATTCACTGAAAACAGATCTGACAGGAAGAGGCATATGAAGCTACTATTTACCATCAAGTGCGGCATGCGTGCATCACCTTCTGGCAAGTGAGTTTAAAACTGTCAGAACACTATGGCTAGCACATTACTGCTAATCATATCAAGGGACTGCAGAACAAGGACAAGGATCTATTTTAATATTTACCACTCAGTGATAACATTTTAAGTGTCCTTTTATGGATTGGTTTTACTCACCTACTTGTAAGGAAGACTGGACACAACTTTTCCGCTGCAAACAATTAATTTAATTTTGAGTGCAACCTAGAGGTTATTCTAGAATGTTCCTCTTTGCTCATTAGGTCAGGGATCAAACTTGTCACCTCCTAAAGTCCTATGTAAGGGGAGCATGCCTCAGTTTTCCTGCTCCCTATGCTGCATTTCTGAGAACAGAATCTCTCTGAAATTTTACTCCTTAAGACTCCCTCTTTAACATGACATATGACCATTACCTCAGTTTCATTGCAGCAGAAGATATCAGAATGGGTATAAAATTGTGGATCTAGGTCAGCAAGGGCTGGAGCTGGATTAAATAAAGTCTTTACTGAAAAAAAAAAGAAAAAGAAAGTCTAAATCTCTAGTGTTTTAGATTCAGAAACCATCACCTGAAACACCATTTTGGTTAATTCACAGCCCCCAATGTTTATTATTAACATACAAATGGCTCTCAGTTTCTGTGTCCTCATTTTATAGAACTGCTAAAAGTTTTGTTTATTATATTAAAGTTCCCTTCTAATTCATGTGCAGGCACCTGTCATGATGGGAACACGACAGAAGAGTAACAGAAAAAATAATCAATAAATTATTAAATTAAAAAAAAGCCTTAGACAGTAATGCAATTTGTTTAACTGAAGATGCTTCTTCCAGGATTTTAATAAGTTTTACAAGAACTGACTTATTTCTAAAATTTTTTCAGTGTTGTTATCTGTGTTCTGTACATGAAGAAACAGGGGTATGGAGTAATGAAGGGCATGTCCAGACAAGGAGTTAAACATGCTTTTGAATGTGTTACCTAACTTGTTCCAACTGCCACATTATAAAACTGTAGTGTAGACAAGGCACTGTATATTTTTAATATGCTATCTGGCAGAGCTAGACCTAAACTTAACACGTAGTAGAGTATGTTAGCTAACCTAACTTTAAACTGTAGCCTAAGGCCCCGTGTAACAGCAGAAAAGGTTTGTCATGAGGACAGTGTAAGTGACTTACTCACTGTTAACACAGGAAGTCTGCAGACTTGGTTTCTCACTTTGCCAATTTTATGATTAATACTTCTGTGTCTTAACCACAAGGCCATCATTTTTATACAAAGCACACTTTCTTACTTCAGAAATATTCCCTATAGTAAGTGATCAAATCTTCCAACTTGGATGCCTAAATTTTCAGTCCTAAATGCATATTTAGACCCTAAGATATAGCACATAATATTCAGACACCCTGAACACTTGTGAATCCCAGTTAATGCTCTAAAAGAGAAAGATGCACAGACACTTCTGAAATCTGAGTACCGAGAAGTTTAGATGACCTTTTTGATTAACACTCTGAAAGTTTTAGCCTTTGACTATACAACTTTATCATGCTTCTCTACCTGCATTGTTAAAAAGAGTATTAAAGCGACAAAGACATTTACTCAGAAGTCAGAAAATGCCAGGATTAGAAAATGCCAATGAAGTCTTAATTTGGCTCCCTTATATTATTACAATACAGTATGTATTATAATAAACTCTTTAATTATATGATCACATACCACTGAAAAACAGCATGTGATCACATAATTAAAGACTGCAACATAATACATATGCAGAAAGGAGACAAATTAAGGTTTCACAGGCAACCTTAACTCTTGCATTTCCTATTTTCTGAATTGCAACCCTAATAAAGTTTTTTTTAAACACAAATCTTGAAGGTATACTTTCCTAGGTAAAACAAACACAGCACATATTGGAAAACAAAGTCTGTCATGTGGTATCATACCGACATATACATGGGTCAGGAGCAGCACTGGAAGTGTTCCAACTTGGGTTTTAAGTAATACAGGCTCATCATGAACAGGGTGTAATACATGACTATTAGTTTGCTCCCATATTTAATATCTGCTGAGCAGGGGGGAGGTAGAGGAACCCTAAGATTCTCTTTCAGGCTGTGAAGAAGAGCATGGCTTGTGAACAGGGCAATCTGTTTGGTCCCCCTGAGGAACACCAAATTATTTTCTGCCCAAATTCTTTCTCTCCCTTTGCCAAAATCCATTCTCTTAAGTAGTTTCCATTCTTTATGACTCCTTGCATAGGCACTATACAATAGTAACCTTTTTCACCCAACTTTCATCACAATCATCTCTCTTTATGCCCCCTCTCCTATGCTTTCTTTTTCCCACTTCCAGTACCCACAGCCTGCTCCCCGACTCTACCTCCACATTCCAATCTCTATTCAATAAATCCTATTCTTTGTTCCAATTTTGTTCCACTTTCAGTTTCTCTCTTGTTTCTTCCACTGCCACCCCCAAAATCAAGCAAATCCCTCCTACAATTCCCTTGCCTGAAGTCTACTCTCCCTCCCCACCATTCCTGACCAGTGTCGTCTCTTCTGTATTCAAATCAAGCAAGCTCCTTCTCTGCACTTCCTGGGTCTACAAGAGATCTTTAATAGTATAAAAGAAGTTGCCTAAAACCAGATTCAGGAATTACACTGAAAGTCATGCTGCCCAAATCAACAACCACCTGCGTGGACAGACTCTCAGGGGAAGCTAGCTGTGAAGCTCTAACAATTTCTCAAGTCTCTGTGAAAGGTAGTTATTTTCCAAAAGCAGATAATACAGTAAAAATCAGGGAGATTTCCATCATGTTGTAATGGCTTATCTTTAAAAGAAAGCTCCCTTGCTATCAAGTCTTAAGTAAATTTTAAGGTAGCCAGAATTTATACTTTAAACAGGGCAGGGTGGGAGGCATTTTTCTGTTGCTTGGTTTCTGCAGCCACTATGCTTTGGCAGAAATTTTACAAAGAATTTAACCAGAGACAAACAGCTGTTATGAAAAATTGGAGCCTGAGATTAGAAAGTTGAAACACCTGAAAAATAGACCCTTTACTTGCAAGTGGCCTGCAACCTTGATAACTGAGGCTGCTTCCAGCCCTGGTTATGATACATTTTCATTCTTCACTGCAGTATTAATAGGCTGGACATTATTAGCTGCCTTTTAAAGAATCTGTCATTACAGAAGCCCTGTCTGCTTTACAGGCTTCGATATACAATAACATTTTGCCCATCAATGAAGTGGTACCCTTCTTGGAAGCAGCAGCAGCTTCACAACATGTGGCCTTTAAAAACCTAGAATTTTCCAGTCAGATTTCCACCACAATTTATACCCAGTTATTCAAAACCCTCCTTCCTTCCTTCCTTCCCTCCCTTCCTTTCTTTCTTCCTTCCTACCTTCCTTCCCTCCCTCCTTCCTTCCTCCCTCACTCCCTCCCTTTCTTCCCCCCTCCCTCCCTCCCTCTCTCTCCCCCTCTCTTCCTCCCTTCCTTCTCCCCAAGATTGTCACAAGATCTTTAATAATCAATGCCACAATGAGAGGATGTCAGAACATGAGATGTCCCTCTCTAGCTTACAGATCCAGGTGATGTTCACTGAACAGAAGCAAAGGGTTCCTACCTGTGTGTCCACATTCTTTCTCCATCTTATTGTTTATTTCTTTCAGTAAGAATGAAGAAAAACAAGCAAAAAACCCTTCAAACAGAGGTTTGAAGCATCTGGGTATGCATCTGTTTTAAACAAAAATAGTCTAGTGCACATCCTAACATGCAGTACTGCATTATACATGAGGGTATTGTAGGCTAAAAGAAGGGAAATTGCATTAACAATTTAGAGTTGGCTAAGGATAGATTTTTACAGTGCTACAAACTCAGCTGTTTACTTAGATTTGACTGCACATGACATTTGAACATGTGTACCCTATTGCTTTAAAGAAGAAGCAACCAAAGCTTTCCTGATACGAGTGCTGCACCATGATAGCAGATTGACAGCACAGAACTATAGCTGGCCCACAGTTAACTACTGTCTTTTCTCCATATATTGTGCTGTCTACAGTTGCTAAATGCTTGCATGTCTGTTCCGTGTATCAGGTTTGGATTCTTTTTTAATTGCCTTTAAAAAAATCCTATCTTTTCTTCTCTCTCAGGCTGGCATTTTGCTGTAAGGGCTTCATACAAAAGTGTGAAGCAACTTTACCAAAACTATGCATAGAGTTAGAATTAGACAAAATAATTCATGGATATTGACTCATGACTCAACTATAGTCCAGTAACCACTAGATTAAGAATGCTTTTACCCATCTTCATAAACCACAATGAAAAAATACAGTAAGCTCTGTTTCCCCCACACACACATACATTTTAAGCATCCCAGGTGCTACTCAGTTAACTGAAGTTTTTAATTTTTATTTAGATATGCATAAGCCCAGTTTTGACATTTCAAACAGAAGTCAAAATAATTTTTCCCCATGCACAGTTCTGTTTATAGAGTTTATGACTATTACTACCACAGTTTCAGAGCCACTCTCTCCCAGCCTTGCATCTAACATAGCTGCTTAAATCAGCACAAAATACATGAACACGATGCATAAAGGTCACCTACATCTGACGTCTTCACCAGTGCGGAAACACTAGTGATCACAACAGGTGCACAACAGACCTCAGCGCAGAAGGAAGACTGAAGAGTCAACAATCCCAAGGTGCTATGACCTACTGGAGCAAGCCTGGGCCCAGCTGCAAGGAACCAGTTAGTTTTGATCCCAGTTCCATCCCTGACCTGCTGCGTGATTGACCATACTATGGCTTGTCCCCTCCCAGTCTTCTCTTCCGGATAGACAAGAACTTACTTTTAATCTCACATAGATGCCTCACTTGCATAATTATTTACTTAGTGTTCAAATACAGTGGTAATTGTGCTTGAGTAACTGAAAGCACTGCAGGCACTTAAAGAACAAAAACATCATGTCGGTAGTGAAACCCCATCCTGTTCAAGCAAAATGTCAGGTTTTATCTACGTATATGCTACACTGAAGGAACAATGGCCTACATCTAAAAGTACAGCACAGTAACAATTACTAACAATTTCACAGGCCATGACTCTGTCTATTCAATGGCAACATGCCAAGTCACACTCTAAGAATTTTGGTTAGGAAGAAAAAGCTTTATTTTTTTTACTTTAAGGATGTTAACTTCTGTATAGAAAATGACAGCCATACCTACTGCTGTGCTGGGAGAACAAGGGAATAAGTCTGGTTTTGAGGTCATTTCATTCACTTTATTGTGTATGGAACTTCACTGACTTGCATTCATTATGCTTGTTCTGCTCTGGAATAATACCAGAGTCAGGCCCATAGTTCCTGACCTAACAACGTTATACTGTATTTAGTCACAGCATGAAAATAGGAGGAAACGCAGCACCAGACCTATACGGGGAGATTATAAGGGTATGGGTTGATTTGCCATTCAAGGTAAACACTGCAAAATTTAAAAACTGAATTCAGTTTTCATTAATGTAGCATGAATTTGTTGGCTATTGTTTCATTTCTAAATAAAACTAGTACGACAGAAACCGGAATAGACCACAGGATCTTTATTTAGAAAGCACGATAAAGAATATTTTTCATGCAACACAAATGAGGGAGACAGAATGACTTATGTTAAATTACCTCCACTGGCACGTGCCATTTTCAGAGCTTCAAGAGAAACAGCAGGGGTTATTTCTAGCTGGCAAACAACCACTTTAGCTTTACAGATGACATCAGAAGCCCTCTTCAGGTCTTCAAAATTTAAAAGCAGGTTGGCTCCTGGGACTATGACAATAACATTCTGTCCTAAAGAGAAGATATTGTGGTTTTTACATTAACTTTTGCAATAAAGTATGTAAAACAATTCCTTGCTTTTCTACAATACATTTCAGATGAGGATTTCAATTTGCTTTCCAAAAAAAACCCACTAAAAATGTATACATTGCTGACATTTTCAAATATCCAAAGATTTCAGAAGATAATAAAAAAGATCGATGGACTAATGAATGCTACACTGCACAACAAATGCAGTATATAATTATTTGGGAAAAGTCATGTATGGGCTTTCCCCAGTCTTATTTTGGTGTTTTCTATGAACTCTAAAGAAGCACTGTACTAGTCACAGTGGAGATGGGGGACATACACTAAGGCTGATATTTGCATTTTCCTAAAATATTCCAGTAGCACTTGGAAGAGAAAAGCATCAATGTGATTACTGAGTTCATAAGCCAAAAATGCCATAAAAATTTTACTTTTCCCATCAGCTGGAAACAGAGAAGATTTCACACAGCTATGAAAATTATGCATGTTCTTTAGATTTCAGAGAAGCAGGCTTGCTCCATTTACCATGACACTTCAGGTTAGGGCCCCTAACCATCATGAAAACCAGAATCAGCTTGCCACCAAAACCCACAAAGGTAACGCTTATGTCTAAGGAAAGCTTTATCAGACGTGAGTAGAGAAGGTGGGTGGCTGATTCTTCTGCGCTTTAAAGGTGGTCAGTAGAATGGTCTAAGCAAAGCTATACATGCAGAAGCATGGCAATATCTCAAAGCACATCTAAGATCCTCTTCATTCTCATCGTTTATTTTACAGTTAGGTGAGGAGGTTCATTTACATAGGTTCCAGATATTCTTTTGTTTTTCTTCAGACATGCAAGTTGCCTTCTTTTATTGCAGTTTCTTTCATTCTTTCTTTCTTTTTCTAATCTCTGTTACAACACCTAGAGACCTTCAGGCATGGGTGCCTTCAAATTAAAATTTATTATTAATCACTCAGGTATTAAATTCAATAAGTCAGTTGTTCCTTGATTTACAGGCTCAGCCCGCCCCCGCTGAAGATTCCTTTAAGGACTGCCAATCATTAAAGGCTACCAATTCTGTAATGAACTGAATTACTCTGTAAATAAATATTTATGTTTTTAAATACATTATTTTTGTTGAATGCAACTTCAAAGTGCTTTGAATAAGAAACGTGCAAAGCTTGTCTCCCTAAATATGTTCTGAAAAGAAAGCAGGACAATGGAAAGAATAATATAGTGATCTCAGAGGGAAGGGCCCAAGCTTTCCAAAGCAATTCTGCTGTCAATGGTTTGGTACAGAACAGCTGCATAAGAAAAGCAAAACCTCAGCATTTAAAGCCAACGCCCTGCTTTTCAACATACAATGATGGGCATCTTGGATAAAAAAAAAGAAAAAACCTTCTGCAACAAGCAAATGCTATCAAAGATACCTGAATCCTGTTGAGGAAACATTCAAAGGCAAATTGAATTCTGCCAAATATATATTATGACAGCTTATAGGGTGCAGCAGTGCAAACAGTAAAAGGCAGAGAATCAGTGGAACAAAAATATATTTAATTTCTGCCTGGACTCTGTGCTACCTAGAATCTCAGACTCTATCTACATGTCTTGCTGCATTATCTTGCTGAACTATTTAGCTATACTGACATTTATATTATTATTAGACTTTAGAACTAATGGCCCAAAGCGATAAGGAAGGCTGTTTGCTTAAACCCATATGTGCAAATTCAAGGTAGACCATGCTGCAATGGATCACAGTTAGAAGCTTTTCTTTGTACCTACAAAAGGTCAGAGACTTAAAGTCTGCTTTCAAACCTGCCAGGGAAATGCAGTACCTACTGTGGTGTAACAGTCTGGGCGGGCTCAACCCAAGTGTTAGAGAAAAAGCCATGTTCTATTCTTAGCTACATATACCACGCTAACTGTGAATGACAGCAGTCACCACAAACTTACACTAGCGTGCATGAAAGCAGAATCTGGACCCATGCACTCACAATTAATACCAGAATTTTGTATTACCAGCAACCATTTTGTTGAAAGCAATTACTTCTTGCCAGGGAAATCAGATGGGAAATCAGCACCAGGGACAACAGAGTTAAAGACAGATGGCAAAGAGGGGTGGGATTCATCTTGTCCAACATTAACTAATTTTTAAAGTTTTCAAAAAAATTCCACATTCTAGAAAATTCTAACAAAACTAATTTCTAAAAATTAGTTTTCTAGGTTCCTTCAACAAGGAGGAGAAAGTATTTTCAGAGTTTTTTTAATCTTAGTATCTTAGATACCTGTTTGAGGAGGAGATAAACAGTCGTCTGGAAATGCCTATGAATCTCTGCTAACTCTAGAAGCTGTGAAGCCTTAAGCCGTACACCTACCTTTGAAACAGCTCAAGTGAGGTAAACTGTTGCCCACACTAAGAATGAGAAAAATATACTTATTGCATTACAGTTAATTCTAACATACCATTACTCAGACTAAAATTTCTCAGTTTTGATGGGAGCATCTATATAATTTTAACTTTTGCAGACATCAGCTAAAATATTAAGGCCACATTCACAGTTGCTATAAGCTAGAACAGCTAAATGAAGCTGATAAACTTGTGCAAGCTTACACCAGATGGGGACTAGGTCCAATCAATACTTAAAAGAGCGTGAATGCTGTATATGTAAATACTGTCCTCAGTTGGGCTTCTAAACCTGCTACTGTCACTTCTTAGAAAGACGGGTATCTCAAGCTAGTTTTTTTTACAAGTGTTATTTAATAGATCCCACCAGATGAGAACTGCCAGTGGAAAAATCAAAGGTAAACCAGTAAATACCACAGTGCAATAACCCTCACTTTTTAAAATGGGGTGACGAGCCTAAAAGCCATCAGTAGTGATTAGAACTCATCAAAATCTCAACCAATGCAATTATAACAATAACTGCAGAGCTTCTGCATAATAACTCATAGGGAAAAAAGGTTATATTTGTGACCAGGAAAAAATGTTACAGGAAAAACATTTGCTGCCAAATCACACAGTTCATGAATATGAGGGCAAGTTTTGGGTGTGTCATGGTATCATAATTTCTATGCAATTACTTGGTAGGAGCATTGAATAGTCTTGTACACAAAACATTTAGGTTCATGATGAATGTAATACGTAGAAATTCTATAAAAATTCAGGTGACATTTCTTCATAACCCTGAAGATTCAAAACAAAGATTTTCCCTTTGGAAAGTATAATTCAAACAAACTGGCATATGTATTCTAAGCTTGCCTTGCTTATTTAGCCTTATCTAAACATATATTTTGAATGTTTTTATACTAGTAATGCTTTGGTATTGAAGGTACACTCACTTACAAAATAATGCCTATTCACTGTTAGTGAATGATTAATAACTTTATCGTAAAGTCAGCACTCAAGTGAGAGTGATTTCGCAGTGTTCTGTGTAGGTGAGCTTTAAGTCCTAACTTGGAATAATCAAGAGCACTTTAATCATGACCTGCCAACCTTTGTTGTCCCTCCACTGAATTTTTGCTATGAACACGGAAGTTGTCAAACTGGTTCAAACTACTGGGCCCGTCAGGCCAGCTTAACGGCGCCATGAACAGTCAGTACCAGCTATGGACAAAGGTGCAATAAACTTCACAGATAATCATGAGCGGTGTTCCCCAGGGCTCTGATTTGGGGCCAGCCTTGTT